GAGAGAGAGAGAGAGAGTTTCTGACAGGAGCATGCTTCTTGGATCAAGATATCAAACTTTCTTTAGACTGCCAATAGGGATGCAAAAGAGCTCTTGGTATATCAGAGTTTTTTCTGACAGGAAATACAGCGAGGTTCTTTGCTGATTGTTTTCTCGACCAAGAACTCTGGACCTGTTCAGGCTTTTGCCACACACAATCTTGCTGAGAAATCAGATAAGGCTGATGACATGCCCTCGGAGAAGTGAAAAGACAGCGCCCCCTTGGTGAAGCAAACGGTTGAAACAGCCTCGGAGAAGCGAACAGGAGGCGCACCCTTGCATCTGCTTTTGGAGAATCAAACAGATGACATCTCCTTGGAGAATCGAACAAATGATCAAATCACTTTTGTCTATGATCCAGATGGATATCGATTCCGATCAAAGTGGTTCTCTCGTTGTCAAGAATGGAGAATAGAATGATTAGAAACTAGGACTGGATCAGCAACCACAGATGCGAAGGAGCCTCATGCTGAAGATAATGACACCAAAACACCCTTGAAGGAGGAAAAGACAGGAGGAGATAATTCAATCCCTGTAGAGGGCCTAAATCAGTCGTGTAGTGTACTTTACGCAGAAGCACTCGATTGTCTCAAGTAAGTCGGGGGTCATCTCCTTTAGTGTTTCTTGCTTTAAAATTATAACTGCAAACAAGTGACTTTGGGCTTCTCATAGACAGGTTGTGGAGAACAGCAACTAGATCGTGTGGATATGAGCAGGTATTTATATCGTTTTCCTATTGCATTTGAAATTCAAACTACAACAGTTGCTTGTTCCTTCCTAAAATTTTCATTTCTCTTCAGACAAATATTGTTGTTAACCTTGTGCTGTCCATTGTTTAGTTATTTATTACCTCTGTTCTCCATTCATATCTGCTTGTAGACACAAGGTAATATGTTAATTTGAACTATGCTAAGGAGGTTGGTTTCTATATGAATATTTTGGAAGTCATATTAATGAGAAACAAGTCCCATAAGCATTGTGTGATTGATAAGTGAAATTCTTAGATTAGCATCCTAATGTGCGGCATTTGTTTAATTGGCATGTTTGTTTTAGATATTTGATTCTGGTACCGCATAGGCTGCAATAGCTTTCCTGAGTGGTTATATGACCATATACGTTGATGATTTGGTTGGATTGAATACATTCGGAACACTATTGTGTGGGAGGTTCTCCAATCACATTTTCAGCCAAAATTACAATCATTTTAAAATTAACTTGAATAAGTCAATCAATTCGGAATCACTAAGAATCGATCTAGACTAATCAAAATCTAATTTAGTTCAATCAATATTTGGGCTCAAATCTAACAATAATATTGGGCTAGACCCATCTACTGGTCATATGCATTATGTATGATTGGACATGCATCACATAAAGCTGGCCCAATCCTGGCCCATGGACTGATCATATGCGTCGCATATTACCGCATATGATGGTTGGGCTGGGTTAGCCTACGGGTAATTTTAATCCAATTAATATCCAATTTTATACCACAATATATATTCATTAACAATATAAATAAAAATATAATAACACATTAAAAGATAGATAAATTTTAATATAAGGAAATAACATTCTGAATAGAAATCATAACATATTAAAAGATAGACTAGGAGATAAGCTTTAATACAAAGAAATAACCTTCTAAATTCAAATAGAAATTATGCTTTCAATACATGTATAATTTCAATATATTCTAGTCAAATAAATTTTAAATCATTCAGAATAGCACATTTTAAATTTCAGATCAAAGAATATTAAAAAAATTTAGATAACATATTTTAATCTAATAAAATTTTTAATCCAGATAAGATTAAAGATAAATTATAAAACTAAAAAATATAAGATAAAACATATAAATTTTTAACATGTTTAAATCAAAAATAAAAATCTTAATCAGAGATCAAAGAATATTATAAAAATTTTAATTAATTGACTTTAATGTAATAATAAAAATTTTGATATTTAAAAAATTGATAAATTTTTTTTGTACTACAAAACTTTCAACATTTAAAGAATCAAATAAAAATAAAAAAATTTTATTTTCAAGAAAGGTAGGGAAACCTACCTCTCGTCAGCATGATGTAACTCCTCGTTCCTCCCACTGTTGAGCTCGGCTAAGTGAGGAATGAAGGAGAGAAATCCCTCCCCTTATATAGGAGGTGAGTCTCCATTAAAGAAAATTTATTTTTATTTTTATTTAATATAAATTTTTTTATTTAATATACTAACAAATATGATATCATCTTATTTAGAATACTTAATAGTTATTTTTTAAATTTGTATTAAAAATAGATTAAGATTTCTTAAATTATAAAGAAATTCATGAATGCTACTTGCCACTATACAAAGAGCCTCTTTGATCTCTAAGCACAGAGCAAGCAAGTCTTTGGGAGGGTAGCATGTTTTATTAATTATCTAGGTAGTCTTTTTCTGTATGTGTGCATGCATTTTACAGTTTTGTATTATTTCTATGTTGGCGCTGAAATAATTTACCTCCAACTGTAAGGTGACAACATCCAAGTTTGTACAATTATTTTACCCAAACATTGGTCTTGGAGGAGAACTAGAGGACAAATTATTATGCACAGCTGAAACCCAATCTGATCAGATTGATCTTTTTATTATTATTATTATTATTATAAATATAGCATATTTAAATTTATTTACCTTTTATGCAATTTTAGATCAGAGCAATATAACATAATTTATTTACCAAGCATATCTAGGCATACAAGTTCAGGGTTCCTGTTGCTTCCAAGGGAATCTAACAAGCTAAAAAATATTTATTTCTGTTTTTCTTCTACGTAGAGGGGTAAATATAAACAAAAATCTCAAACTTTGGTGGGATATGTTTGTGCAACTTTTCTTTTCTTTATTTGATCACTTAAGGGGGGCTATCTCGGATTAAAAAACGAAATTAAATGATATCTTGTTTAAGTACATCATCAAATTACTTTTCTTCTTTATCCTTAAACCTCAAGCAGTGATGGACATACACAATCTGAATATTCTTTATATATGCATAATAAAGTACTGACAGGGAGACGTGATACTCGGGTAATTCTTTTTCTTTTTTTTTGTTATATTTTTTCTTCCGTATATATTGTTTTGAAGTCAGACAACCCTTTCTGGAAGCATTTTAGGTCACCATCTATTGATATAAAATTTTGTTCTTGATAATTAATTGCAGATACCACCAGGAGATAAAAGATTTTACAAAGGACCGGCTTTTTTACTTGAGTGAGTACCTGATTGTTCACTTTCAAGAGTTCATTAGAATGCATTCCACCTAAACATTTATATGTTTTTGTGAGCAGCGGGGCTATTAGGATTGTTGATGTTGTGACTGGGTGAAGAAACAACTTCCAAAGGACTGTAAGTTCATGCAACTAATTTTAATCAGCTTTTATTATTATTGTCTCAGATTCAAGAATTCCTTGCAGACAGACGAAGCATTTTGATTCTCGCGAGTACTTGAAGAGTCTAATTGTTGTTTCTTCAGGAGGAATTTCTGGACTCCTGCGTACATTATGGATCATCGTTTATGGATCCTTTTTTTGCAGAATGTTTTGTTATCCATTTGTGTAAACCTCATCAAAAAGGACATTACTATTGACATGAGAGGCGCAGCTGATGGCATATTTGCTTCGGTTCCTCTATGGACCAAGTTATGTTCATGTTATATTGCCATTGTGTTGTCAAAATCCCCTTTTGTCAATTTTATGATTCAAGATTGTGAGGCGAAATCGTAAAACGAACTGCGGTAAGCCTGCAGAGCACATTCTCTCTCTCTCTCTCTCTCTCTCTCCTCTTCTTTGACAATGCTTGGAGTTTCATTTCTTTTCTCGATTACAGTGTCATGCAAACTCGAAAGTCATTTGCCTCTTCTCTTCTACAGCACCTGAAAACCAAAAATAAAAAAAAGGAAATATGATCATCCATATCGTGCTATATCAAAAGCATACTGATTCTGGTTCAAACAATAAAAGATATCTACTGACAGGTAAATTTGATCAATCACCTCAAAGCAAATCAATTCATGGAATACATACATATAGATGCTGTTGCAATAAACCCGTTCTGAATTCTACGTCTTCTATTTACTTCGGATAAAACCAAAGTTTTAACCAAAGTCCGAAAATCAATTTTGCACATAGAAATTAAGCACGATTCAGAGGGCACCAAAATTCCAAGCATAAAAAAGAATGTAGACGGTAATGCTCTGACCTACTACTACACACTGGTCTGCGTTTGTAGCCCTGAAGGATCTGCTACTGATTAATGGCATAAAAGTAGTAACTTAATTTCTTTCTACACAGAGCAATTGGCATAAAAGCAAATACACAACACTTAAATCTTTTCAGGAGTTCTGGTCATCCACAATTGTTGCCGCCAATCAATCATATGATTCCATGAAACAAGAGATAACGTTTCAGAATTCCTATTTTATGCCTCCTATATGATCAAGCAGCATAATAAGTGTTTAACTCTTATTCTTTAAGAACGAAATCAAAAATAGAACTAGATAAGTTATTTATCATTCACCGTTAACGGGCAGACAATGTCCCTGAAAGTGGAACTATACCGATCACCAACCTTGTAACTCTCATCAGATTGGTATCCCAGCAAGGAATCACTTAAGCAAAGCTTATTCTAATTTGGTAACGATAAAGTCATTTTTCTCTCATGATCAACTTGACTCCAGATTTCACCATCACCAACACGTGCGATCATGTGGTGAGCACCTACAATGAATGGGAAGTAAAGTTCTTTCTCTGAGAACTTGTTTGCTTTCCCAGCGATAAATCTGTAGTTTCAGCTACTTGTATGAAGTAAAAACAGAAAACATGGTCCTACCAGTTCTCTGATTCAGAGACTTCATTTATGTGCTTAATATGCCAGAACGCTCCACATAATCCTTAACAAGCGAAGCATCAGGAAATCATCGAGCTACGATAAGAAACGTTGTCAATATGCTACTGCTGCAATTTTTTTTTCATTCACTAGTATTACCAACAACTAAAAAAGAAAAAGGAAAAGAATTAAAGAAGATGCATCACTATTGTGCCAAGTATATACACTTCCGAGTAAAACCTGCACTGACTCGAACAAGATCACTTAACATGAGAAGAATGATTACATACCTCTGTATCATGTTCATGGAGGGGATACAGAGCTGCATCAGCTTCACAAAGAAGGGTCATCTGGAAACATGACATTGCAAACAAATAGAGGAGCTGAGGCGTGTTAGCCCCTTCTCGCATATGAAAGAGAAAAATAAGAATGCAATTAACCTCAATCCACAAGGTAAGCAGCTGTAGAAAACCAACATTCAAAAAGAAACGAAGAAAAAGACAGAAATAATATGCTAAAAGCAGTGACGGCGACCTGCCCGTTCGGTAAACGCCTACGGACCTGAAGCATTCATGAGCATCGCAAAGCAAGAAAGCGCATACAGCCAAAGAACGTGTGGGGGAAAGATCCACGCCGTTCCATGCCAGTTGTGAAAGCAAAATGTCCGGATTCCCCGTTCCTAAAAGCTCTCGCCCCTTCTGGTTCAAGAAATGGCCCATCGTCCCAAGAACTCGGTTCCATCGGTCGATCTAGTTCAAGAAAAGATGCGTCCGATTCCGTCATACCAAACAAGTACGCTCTCCTCAAGGTACACCACCGGGATCATGATCACCGCAAAGCAAGAAAGCGCATATAGACCAAAAACAGAACATCAATCAGAAAATAGCGAAAGGTCCGGTTTCCCCGTGCCCAGAAGATGTCGCCCTTGTTGACGAGGACCAAATCTAGTTGAAGAAACGGTGCGCATCGTCCCAGGAACTCGATTCTATCGGTCAACCCAGTTCAAGAAAAGATACGCCATCACAAGAAAGATTCCATCAGACGAGCTAGCAGAAAGACAACAAGTTAATGGCGTCTCAAAGAGAGGATAAGAAAGGAAGGCGAACCGAGGCGGAGGCTTCACGGGGCGCGATCCACCTTTAGGGCTTTGCATCGCCTCCATCCCTTGTCCTCCTCTCCCTTCTCGGTGATGTCGGCGTGGGTGCGAGGGAGAAAAGAGAGAAGGCGAAGAATGGACGGAGAGATCACGAAGGCAAGAGAGAGAGAGAGAGAAAGAGAGAGAGAGAGGTTTTAGGGCATAAAAAGAGAGGAATCGGCTCGTCGGCTTTCTCTGCGTTGCTGCGAGTTTTCTTGGAGACTTACGAAACGGGATTTAAATAGCTTCTCTCGAAGGCGTCTGATGGAGGAGGCGGCGGAGGAGGATCAAGTCCCATGATGCGAGCGCGACCACCGTACGATACGGAGCCAAATGACCCCGGCTTCTTGTTGATTCGTGCATTGCATCTTGACCGTATGTATGACTATTATTATTATGCACAAATATCATCTAAAAATAATTTTTGAAACAGAAATCTTAGCAAACGGGACATTTTTCTTGACATATTAGTCCAACAATAATATCAAAATCATAGATGATTCAGTTTACCGTCCATAAGTAAACACGAAGGGAATCGTCACTAGATGATCTTACCACCGGTGTTGGACAGCAGCGAAGCTGCAGCGGCTGCAGCGGTAGGAACGATACCGGTCGAAACGCCGGGTTTTGAGAGATGCAAAAGCCTGTAGTGCAACACATCTCAGTTAATAAGCATCTCCAGACAGACAGAGACAGACAGCCGCGTAGCAAATTTACTTACGGAGCCAAATATTCGCAGAAGGAAGAAACAGCAGCACCCACTTCATTGTAATTGTCCCCAGCGGTAGGCGCTGTAATTTCAACCATTTGGATTCCAGGAGTGACGGGCACAGCCTCGTCTGTCGCGTGAAGCTTCGGCATTTTGTTGGCAGAGGTCACGGTGACGGTGATCGGCGCACCTCGCTGGAAACGGAAGGCGAAGCCTATCTTGAGGAGCTCGTGGTCCAGCTTGTAGCCAAGCGAATAGAAGAAGCGCAGCGCGTTGTTGCTCACTTTGCTTTCCACCATGGTTCGAACTAAAACTGAGATTTGCTCGGCGCCAGCACCTCTCATGGCGCCCCCAACATGGCGCACGGTCCTACATCGAGGCCAAATTTGAGTCATCATAAGAAGACTGTGTGCGGTGGCAAAAAGTTTAGGGCATAGGCATACCAAGACGGAGTGGGCTGAGCTAAATCACACAAGAGACGGATCTCAGAGGGCACGGCTGCAACAAATGAGGCAGAAAGGCAGGTTCTTTTGAGTGGTCAATCATGACGATGCAGACATAGTTCAGTGCCACGATTTACTCACCAAGGCTCGGTCCACTTTTTAGACACAGCTCATGAACTCTAATGCGTTCCTTTGGAACTCCACAAAGGCCCTGAAGAAGAATCTCGAGGGCCTCGACATGCTGAAAACGAACACATTTGTCATAAGCTTCCGAGAAGAGGAATATAGAACACAGAGGTGTAAATCTTCATAAACGGACCACGAATCAGCCATGCATTTCAAGTAAAACATACCTGCGTCTCGATTATTCCTTGCACAACGCACTCCATCCGCAATCTACCTGTTTCCACGCCGTTTCCTTCGCTCCTGAGAACTTGTGAGTGCCGCAGAAAACAGATCCAAAAGGAGAACCAGAGAGTGCCACAGAAAACAAATCCAAAAGGAGGATTATTGGTTTAGGCAATTCGTCAAACACACGGCGCTCGGCTTGATTTGGTATATATTGACATCGCCAGGATATCCAAAACCCTAATTTAGCACATGATCACGATCCCCATAAGCGAGCGCGCAAAGTGGGAATCGTAGTCCGTAGTTCCTTCCATTGAGAGGGAAAGAAAGAAAAAGAAGGGATAAGGGCTTTTATGTTGTCACCTTCGAGCAGCGGCGTTCTTCCGATGCTTCCGTCTCGAGGACGACCAACTCCAAACAGCAGATTGCTCGTGTGCTCGGGAATAAAAAGAGGTCGCTTCAATCACGCGGTACACGATAACTAATGTGGTCCAGTGTGATACGATGACTCAAATGCCCTCATCTTCTATGGGTAGCTTTCACCTGCGGGGAGGTTGGAATTATGTTGACGACTTCTTCCTTGTCTTTGTTCTCTTCTTCTTTTTTTTGTGATCTTTTACATATTTAATAAGCTAACTTCGTGAGACTTTTAGAAAGAAAAAGTATTTGCTATTTCATTTAATTATACCATTTTATCTCTTTTCTTTAAGATGGGAGAAATTATTCATCCAATAAAACCAAAGGAAGCAGCTTCAAGTCCTCACCATAGCAAAAATATAAACTGCTAGCGAAAAACTGATTTGATCCTTTGTGGTCGACATTTCATCCGTCGAGTCACTGCAAAGTTCAAATATAATTTTACATGAATAAAAAACAGGAAAATTGTTGTTGGCGTATAATCTTCCAGATAATATCTATTAGATATTGCTAGCAAAAAGGATCTAAATAATCTTTGTGAAAATGATGCTCAAATAATTTACTTAGACCATTCTTAGGAGGGGCACTAACGAAAGTTTCTTCACGAACAAGTAGAATGGCACCACTGGGGGCACTAGCACATGAGCAACTACCAAAACATGGAACTGAGAAAGGATCATGTGAAAAATCTGAGAACCCTGAGCATGAGCAAGAACAAATGATGGGTAAAGAAACTCTCTCTCTAGTTCAGGCAAAGTTCCCGACATGATGCTAAAAGCTACAGGATACTTGATCTAGTTAACAGTTTCATATCGACAACAATAAAGACAATACAAACCTAACAACTTTGCAGAAAATGTAAACAATATGCAAAGAATTAGAACCAACAGCAGGCACTGTGCCAATACGATCATCCAATTCAATATTTAAGAGCAGAAAGCTAGTTGGAAATGGGTACCCCGTAATGCATTATTGTCCAAGTTTGAAGAGTACTACCAACAGGCTGAGTCTGAGTCGACTAGATCAGACAAACTTCATCTCCAAGGGGAAAAAAAGTCACCAATGAAATTATACAACAAAAACACAACCAAACTGAAAAGAAACAAGTTTTATTCAGGTTCCGGATTTGCCTCGTGTTCAAATTTGAATCTCAAATGCCAAACGATTTCTAATCCAAAACTTACACCCAACCAGATGAGATCTTACGTCTCAGTTGAGATGATCCGGACCCAGCAACATCACCAACGTGCAATGCTTTCTTACATGTATTTGAACTTTTGCACCAAACTAGTTCCAAAGCAGATATTTCAATCTCCAATTGGTTACAGACAACCACTCACATAATTAGGATGATAACTAACAAATTCACTTCAACCATTCTGACCAAATAAATCTTTGGAGCTTTCTCTCAGCTTTCTTGGAGTAGGCAAAATACACAGGTAAATCAAACACTTTCAGTGTCACTATGTGCCAGATAAATGTCTCCTCGCCTCTCCCTTGGAGAAAAGAGAAGAAAGAACAAGGGAAATGCTACCTAAATTAACTCTGAAACCAGAATATATCTTAAATATTTTTGTACATATATGTGTCCGGTATAATATGGCTGTCATGCGCACAACTTGAAACCATATGGTTCAGTGCATTGGTCGGCGATTTGAACGTGGGCGCACAGGGGTCTTGGAGGGGCTCACCCTGAAAAATCAGGACACTTACCAACTAATTCAAGACAATAGTTTCAAATGACACTATGAAAAGCTATGTGAGGATTCAAAAACCCAAGAGTAAATTGGGAAAAAAGTTTGCACCTTATTGGTAAAGATCCCAAGACAACCCCACTACAGTTCAGTGCAGCGGTGGCACTCTCAGCCTGCAAAAAGAAATTTCAGGTAACAAGTAACAACTATAGTGTTGTGACTCTTAAATTCCAGCCAAAATGAACAAGATGTTGGTGATTAAAAATAAGAAAAAACATATTTATGGCAAACAAGAAAACAACAAACATCATTGAGAGACAAATGGTGAAACATTTGCAGTCAGCCATTTGATATTTTTGTTACTAATAAACATTCCAATGGTTGATCAGCAGGGCAATGATCCTACCAAGCTAGCTCAGACAAATCTTTTAAAATCAATGAAATTGATTTTTGCTTAGAGGTGACTCTAGCATATTCAAACACTAGGAAAGAACGAAAGAGCATAGCGACCATGACAAAGAGAGTACATATAAAAGAGACCACCTAAGGTATATAGGTGATCAAATCAGTGAATCTACTAAGTAAATGAATTCCAAATTTGAATACTTTGTGAATGACAGGAACTAAGTAGCAACAGCAACAATGATCAAACAGCATAATGAAAATCAATGTACTTTAGACTTTAGAGTGCATTGCAATATATAAGTTAATATTGACTCAATGTTTATAATTTAATTATCTATCCTGTAATGCAAAAGAATGCTGTCAAGGCTTTAATGCCTACACACTGATGCAATTAACCAAAGAAGTACATGAATGGAAAAGACTGGCAAAACAACAATGGTTGTCACCAACCAACAAAGCCAAAAGTTATGTCTAGCAAATTTTAGCAAACAATTAACAGCGTTGGGTAGCTATCTAATATCAAGCAGAAAGCCCAGGCAAGGAATTGGATGCACATATGAAGTTAAAGAGTGGTCAATAGGCATTCTTGGTTACTCTACAACTTGCCCTGGCTTAAATCTCTTGGTATATATCAGAACCACTAGTAGTCTGGCTTGGTAAAATTATGACAGTTTGTACCTTAAGGCAGAGCAAATAATGGTATATGTTCACAGGAAGACCTGCTTTTTTATTTTAAATTCTATGCAAGTTGCTATAACAACAGGATCAGTGGATTGTCCATAAACTAAGCTACCCAAACACAAGGAGAATATGAGCAACTGTCGAAAACCAACAAGCATTCCTAGAACATCAAGTGGCCATTCACTGAAAACACCCAGCCCATTTGAGCCAATAATCAAGAGTTATAAATGGAAGCATTGATCTAAAACTCAAAAATGATAATCATATTGGATTAATCATGAACTTATCCCCATAGCTATTATTAGTTAAACCAGTGGCTAATAGTCTTCCACTGTCCTCCCATCTGCAAGTGAACAAGTGTAACCATGGTCCATGGATGACCATATATATTAAAATATTATCATTTATATGGATGTATCTAACACCTGTAGATATACCACATATAATACAGTGTTTGCTTGATATACTCCTGTTGCATATCTGTCCCTCATACATGCCACTGGTGCTTGTGTAAATACAATAGCAAATCACCAAGCATCACAATTGTCATGGCTATCTTGTTTTTTTTTTTATACCATATGACACATGCACGCACGCAAACACAGATATATATATGTATATATGTATGTATATACATATACATACATATACATATATATATACATACATATACATATACATATACACACACACACACACACACACACACACACACACACACACACACACATATATATATATATATATATATATATATATATATATATATATATATATATATATATATATATATATATATATATATATATA